GTGCATTTTTTTTTCATTTATTGTAGCCTTCTTTTTTTCATCTAATTTGCGACTAAAACCAACCAATTCTGTTAGCATCCTGCTCACCGCCCACAGGTGTTTTCAATCAATGCCTCAAAGCTCTATTTCCCAGTGCTGGGATCCTGGGTTGCTGGCAGTGCCTTGCTTCACAATTGCCGCCTCGCTGGGTCTGCCGGTTGCCACCCTCAGCCGGGGTCTTTCAGCCACCACTTGCGCACCCAAGGTCTGTCTGCTGGGTCTGGTCCCAATGCTCTTCATGCAACGCGACCCGTCTCCGCCCGGCTCCTCCCCTCCTACCAGTCTGGATGAATGTGTCTATTTTAACTTCTTGGTTGTCTGACTTCCATACAGTTCAATTTTCTGCCAGTTCTGGTTGTTACTTTGTTTCTAAATTGTTGTTATCCCTATCTTAGTTGTGCAAGGAAGTACAGTGTGTCTACCTACGCCTCCATCTTGGCCAGAATTCTAGACCTAGGCTCTTTTTGCTGATGCATGTAAAGAATTACAGATCAGCAAATATATTAGCATACAATCAGAGTTTATTAGTGATCTGTTCCCATGGAAGAGAACAGGCCTAGCTAAGGAGTGGGGAGGTGAAAGGCATAGGTTCAGGGCAAAGCAGGGTGGCGAAAGTAAGGGCAGCTGAAGGCCTGGGTGGCAAGCCACTGTGTGGCCTGAGGCTGGGTGGCCAGCAAGCCAAGAGCACCCCAGTCCCTCGAGAGAGACAGAGACAGAGAGACAGAGACAGAGACAGAGAGAGACACAGAGAGAGAGTGTGTCTCCTTTGTTCTGAGGACTTACGTAGTTGGTGAGATGGGAGTAAAAAATTGATTACTCCCATAATATGGGAGTTATATATTGATTAACGGGTAAATGTGGTGCCAGCTTCTCTGCAGGGACATGTCTACCCAAACTTAGGGATGTTTGGGGCCTGTTAGCCCAAATCCTTATTTTATTTCAGACTCCATTTGTTCATCTTGTTGTAAAACAGGTACATGACAGGAGGCAGTTAATTAAAGTTGGTGCAGTTACCCAAAGTTATTTATGGGCTTACTCTGTAAGCACTAGGGACTCCCTCATAAAACAGATAGTAACCAGAGGTAGACAGTTAACCAAAATTGTTTTATGGGCTGCTTCTTTGGGCTTTGTGGACCTTCTTCTGCATTCTAGGCCTTGGGGTGAAAATACAGTTTCAGGGTTTTCTTTCCACTATATAGTGGAAATGCTATATAAAATTTCAAGGGCTGCCTTCCTCTGGAGCTAACATAGTGTTTCTTGTGATGTTGGAACACCTGGCAATATTATCACACCACGTTCAGAACTACTGAGTTAGTGGGTGAGACATGTCTCCCTTCTCCTCCCTGTCTTGGTTTACTATTCATTCTACCTAAGTGATAAAAGGCATTTCCTGGCAACCAGGATGCTAGCTAGACACTGGTCAGTAATAGCAGTGCAGTGTCAGAGTTCTTCCTATGCTCCCTCATTTCCTCCTAAGAGACACGGTTCTCAAAAATTCCTTTTTGGGTTGCTGAGGGGTGAAGGTCTATCTTCTGTAGTTGCTTCAGGCTTGGATGGGACAGTAGACCCTGCCTATTGAGAACCACAAAACTCACCCTATTTTACCTGGAAGTTAGTAAAGAATCTCTGGGACTGTCAGGGATGCTGTATGTCAGTCAGAGGAGGGGGAAGAAAGTGTCCTTCCATCGGCCCATGATGATGTCTGGAGCCTCTGGTTTCAGAGGTTGATAGTCATTCATGACAGTCATTTGCAGTTTTACAGTCTCTATTCTAGAAGAGATAAATTTAGTTAGTAAGTTCATTATCATGGGTCTAAATAATGGTATCATTAGTATAATTAATAACGGTGCTACAAAGGAAAGAAGTAAAAACATGAGCCATGAATTTGAATCCCCAAAACAGGTTGAACTTTTGATCCTAAATGCAGACTCAAGGATGCTTTGGATGTTTTGCTGGACCTGCCCTGACTTGTTAAAGTAGAGGCAACACACTTCCTTGAGGTACAAACATGTTCCTCCTGCTGAGGCTGTGAGGAGTCTAATGCCCTTCGATTTTAGAGGGCAACTGCAGCTAATGAGTCCAGTTGCCCTTGGAGTGCTGCAAGCGTTTGCCCTGTTTTAGTTAATGACTCAGCTGTTTCCTGTGATAGGCAGTGGTGGATTCCTAATGAAGCTCCTCCTACCGCTGCTCCCATGGCAGAGAGAATCCCAATAAGTGATATTAGAGGAATAAAGGGACCAGCCCTCTTGAAAAGATGGCCTTGTCCTTGTAATGGGATGGGAGGGAGGCATTTTCCCACACTATGGAGATGTCAGGAAGAACATACCCAAAGGAACAGATTGCCTGCTACTGTGGAGGGAGGGTCCAGTATGCCTGGGATTTTCAAATCCAATATACTCCTGTCAAGGGAGGTATTTCTGCCATCAAAGCAATTTCTGCCAGCTTAACTGGCTGGGTTTCTACAGAGATGTATCTGCCTTTGAGTAGTTGCTTGGTCCTTGCGTATTTGGTGCCCCACCACTGTAATCCCTGTGCCGCCAGCGAGGCTGCAACCAGGGGGTGTATTACAGGGCTGCAGAAACTTGTGCTATTTATGACTTGAGTAAAGATAAAGCCCTTCCTCATTCCAAAATGTATAGTGACTTGAGAGCTGCAGTACAGTGATACAGTCCTCTCTTTCTTGTGGGAGGAATTCATTAACTGGGTAGGATGGCTTGCCTTGGCAGTAAGCTGTTTTTGGTGAGGTTTTCTCTAAAGGCGGGCTAGGAATAGCCGGCTTTGGAAAGCGGGTATGGATGAAATTTGTTTCATTCCCAGGTTAGGAATTCCCCCAGAGATATAGGGTATTATGTTGAGAATTCCACGAGTAGTGTTTGTGAGAGGGGCCTCTGAGATTTTAAAATTTTGTCAGCATTGGCTATTAGCAAGCCTTTCCACAGGTGTGCCCCTCCTGGAGCATCACTGACAATGCAGAAGGGGTATTCGACTTGTAGATGGTTTATTAGGTGAGAAAATAGAGGCCCCCTAGGGGAGTGTTGACTGCTAGAGGAGAAAGTCCTGAGTAATAGTTTAGCAAGGTTTTGAGTAGCTATAATGCCCCATGGACTGGAATGTACAGTCTTTTCCCCACTGTTATGGTGCCAATGGCTGAACGTAGCCCCAGCTGCCTGCAGAAACTGGGGAAGCACCTTCATCCTGGGCAAACTGGGAAGATGGGTCTCCTGCAGAGGAGTGAGTACGTCTGGGAAGATGAGTAGTCATTTGCCAGCTACACAGAAAAGAAGGTGCCTTAGGTCAGGTGAGAATTCTTGTCAAGTGATTTAGCACTGAAGGAGAGGGGGGAGGAGAGGCCAAGCAAGGGCTGTGGCCTGATCCCCTGGGAGCCCTGGATGGACACTGCCCTGAAGAGTCTCTCCGGCCTGGAGACAAGGGAGGGGCTTTTGTAGCCGCCCCCCACTTTAGTCTGTCACTGGCTCCAGGTTTCCAAGGTTGGTTGGTTGGGGCAGGGACAGGAGAGAGAACAATGTAGCACACAATGAAGCAAAGTAGATCCCAGGTCCCCGGAGCAAGGAGGTTCCCCCTCCCACCTCCCTCACCTCGGGTCAGGTCTCTCCCTGAAGGCTGCAGGTTGTAGCTGTCCACAAAAGTGCCTGTGGCCTTTTGAAGGAAAGGAACTCTAAGGTCTGAAGGACACACCATGAGCATCCGCCAGAGGGGGGGGAGATGCCCACAGAGGGGCTGTTTCGGAGTACATTAAGATACTCACTGCACAGCTGTAGGTCCTGTTTGCCTGCTGCATCTGTCACTGTTAGCACTGGGGGCAGAGCAATGAATGGGATAGACACTGCTCCTGAGCTTGGTTCTCACCTGAGACGTGGTGAGCTGGAGGTCAGGGAAGGCTCACTGAGGTGAGACCTGACAGATGGGATGAGATGTTTTGAAGAGCCCAGGGAAGAAGGTTCTAGAAAGAGAAATAAGAAGTGCAGAGACCCTGAGGTGTAGGGAGTGGGTGAGTCTACAGTAACTGGTATTGGTGCAGTAAGCAAGGACAAAGGCCACTGAAATTCAGAGAGGGTGAGAGAAGAACTACCTAAGAGTACCTTTCCAATTACGCAATTTGGATTTTAAAATTATGCAAATTTAAGGAGTTGTTTTTTACATCCTAGCTGGAAGTGGGAAGTATGTGGAAGCGAAACCAGAAAAGCCAGCGTTCATGCTGCCTGTCACCTGCCATGCCCCATCAGCAGAGACTGGGCCTGAATCTTTATGAGCACTTTATTCAGATGGCCAGAGACCTGAGAAGACAGTGGGTTCCTACCCTAAGGGATCATCTTAATTTTCTTTCAAGCCAGCCTTTTCACAACAGGCAATATACAAAGTGAGGTGAGAGGGTTTGAAATTCAGGGAAAATTAGATTTAAAAAACTGTAGCATTCTTGCCTTGGCTGGTTAGCTGTTCCCCCAGGAGGGTGGTCATCTGTCTCTCCCTGGAACACAATGGCCTGGATGTATTTCCACTTGTCCCCAGGTGGCAATCTTTAGTGGTGCCCCAGGAGGTTGGCTGTATCTCCCAGAAGTCAGGATGAGCCACATCTGCAGTTCCTGAAACAATAACTTGAATGTATGCATTACCTACTAGGCTTATTAACTATTTACTTTAAACTAAATTTTTTCCAACCCTTGAGTCCCCTATCAGAAGAGAGAAAGTTTGTGAAGGATGATCCCTAAGATGCTGAGAAATTAGGGATGCAGCTTGCTTTTCCCTTTCATACCTGCTCCTGGCATTGCTGCCTTATCCAGGTGCCTCAGAGAGTAAGAGGGTCGGGTGGAGGATGGGGCTGTGGGTGAAGGTGGTGGCTAGTCTTGGAAATGCCTGCCTTAACCTTACTCCAAGCTATGTGTGAGCCAGTCCCCTACCCCTCCTAGGCTTTCCTGTATAAATTCTTTGGCTTCTCCCTACAGACCTCAAGGAACGAGAAACTGATCAAGATGATGGTCTTCGCCATCCTCCAAACTTCCCATGAGGAGCTGCAGCAGAGGAAGGTGAGGCAGAGTGCACTGGCAAAGGAGGAGCATTTTCAGTTTGAGAGGCAGGCTGGCAAGGTGGCTAGAGGCTCAAACCTGGCAAAGCAGACCACCTGGGTTGGAATCCCAGCCCTGTCACCTATTATCTGTGTGCCCTTGAACAAGTTGCTGAACCTCTCTGTGCTTCAGTTTCTCTGTAAGGTGAGGCTATGGTACTTATAGGATATTTTCTAAAAAGTTTTTTTTAATTTTGAAATAATTTTTTACTTAAAGTTGAAAAAAAATATTCCAAAGAACTCCTGTTTATTCTCCTCCCAAGAAATTCTCCCTGCAAAATCTTAATGTTTTCTCATGTTTGCTTTATCATGTCCCATATAACTTATATAACTTATTTATTGTTATTATTAATGTATTTTCTGAACCTGAAATGGACGTTGCAGTCATGATGCTCATTTACTCCTAAATACTTCAGTGTGTATTGTCTAAAAATAAAGATATTCTCTTACATAAGTGCGGTCCAGTAACCAAAATCAGGAAATTAATGTTGCTACAGCACTGTTACCTAATTTATAGACCAATTTGAAAATCATCAATTGTCCCAAAAATGTGTTTTAGAGCAAAAGAAAGACATTCCTTTCTGTGGTCCAGAGTCTAATTCAGAATCAAACAGTGTGTTCAGTTGTCATTTCTCTTTATTCTTCTTTAAACTGGAATTTCTCTCTATTCTTCCTCATCTTTATCCTTCATGACCTTGACATTTTAAAGATTTTATTTTCAGGGAGAGACAGGGAGAAGGAAGAAGGATGGGAGGGAGGGAGGGAGGAAAAGAAGAAAAGAAAAGAAAAAGGAAAGGAAAAGAAAAGAGACAAGGGAGGGAAGGAAAGAAAGAAAGAAAAAAAGGAAAGAAGGAAGAAAAGAAAGAAAAGGAAGGGAGGGAGGGAGGGAAAGAAAGAAAGAAAAGAAAAAAGAAAATAAAGAAACATCGATGTGAGGGAGAAACATTGATTGGTTGCCTCTTGCATGAGTCCGGACAGGGGACTGAACCCACAACCCAGGCTTGTGCCCTGACCAGAATCAAACCTGGGATCTTTCGCTTTGTGGGACACACCCAACCAAGTGAGCCACACCAGTCACAGCTGTGATCTTGACATTTTAAAAGTGTACAGACCATTAATTTTGCAGAATGTGCCTAGGTTTTGGTTTGTTTCTTATTTCCTCATGATTAGATTCAGACTGTGCATTTTTGGTGGAATCCCACAGAAGTGATGTGTGTTGTAGGGTGGTTTTGAGGATAAAATGTAAAAGCACTGGGAAGAACGCCTGGCACCCAAGCACTCTCCACGTGTTGATGAGGTGTGTTGGTGTCCACACTGTGAGGCCTCCCTTTCCAAGGATCTTCCCCTGCCAGATTCTCAGAGCACCCATCACCATCGTGGGCAGCAGCAGTGACTCTCCAAGCCCAAGGTGCAAGCAGTATCAATGGAGAGATGACATGTACAGGAAGGAGATAGCTAACTACACAGAATGGCCTACTAAAGGCTACATGAATGTTGCTGAGGCATACTGGCCATGTGGGCTGCCTGGGGCTTGGGCTGGTTGAGGCCAGTTTCAGAGACGGAGGGAGGCAGTCATTCCCACTTGACATAACACTGTGAGTTAAGACTCTGGGTCAGGAGCTTTTGGGGGCCCATCTAGAGAACAGTCAGGGGTCTAGTGGGACTGTAATGTAGAGTTTTTTGACAAGGAAGTAAAAGTGACCTCTCTGCTGGCCCCTGGGGAAAGACTGGATACAGAAGAGGGAGAGGACATCTAGGATGGTTCTTAGGTTTCTAGCATCTCAGTGGGAGAAGAAGAGTATCCTTCACTGAGACGGGGAACCCAGGACAAAAGGGGGAGGAAGACGATGCATTCAGTTTTTGACAAGGAGGGGTTGGGGTGCCAGGTGGAGATGTCCAGTAGCCATGTAGATTTGGAACTCTGATCTGGGCTGGGTGTCTAGATTTGGGAAACAAGTTTTCCCTCTCTTTAGCGTGGTGTCCCTCAAAGCGTTAGTGTGAGGATCAGTGAAATAACACAAATAGGGCTGGTACAAACTAAACACTCATATTCTGATGATGTCAAGTAGGATGATGATGATGACCAGGATGAGTGGAAGCCATGGCTAAGGGGGGATGCAAGAAGGGGGACAGAACAGAACCCCCTTCTTTTTAAAATTAATTTATTTTAATTGTAATTTTTCCATTACCATTTAGTCTTCTTTACCCCTCACCCCCCCCAATCACCACACTGTTGTCCCATGTCCATGAGTCCTTTTTCCATTTTGCTTAACCTCTCCAACCTGTAACCCCCACCCCCATAGCTGTCAGCCTGCTCTCCATTTGTGAGTCTATCTCTATTTTGCTTCTAAGTTCAGTTTGTTCATTAGATCCACTTATGAGTGAAATCATATGGCATTTGTCTTTTTCTGGCTTATTTCACTTAGCATAACATTCTCCAGATCCATCCATGCTGTCACAAAGGGTAAACTTTTCTCTTTTTTATACAGATGATTAGAATTCCATTGTGTAAATGTCCCACAGCTTTTTTATCCACTCATCTACTTGGGCTGTTTCCATATCTTGGTGATTGTAAATAACACTGCAATGAGCATGGGGTGCTTATGTTCTTTTGAATGAGTGTTTTGGGTTCCTTTGGTTACATTATCAGAAGTGGGATCACTGGGTCCAAAGGCAGATCCATTTTTAATATTTTGAGGCATCTCCATACTGCTTTCCACAGTAGCTACACCAGTCTACATTCCCACCAACAGTGCAAAAGGGTTCCCCTTTTTCCACATCCTCCCCAACACTTGTTGTTCATTGATTTATTGATGATGGCTATTCTGACAGGTGTGAGATAGTATCTCATTGTGGTTTCAATTTATATTTCTCTGATTATTAGTGACATTGAGCATCCTTTCATATGTCTATTGGCCATCTGTATGTCCTCTTTGGAGAAGTGTCTATTCAGGTCCTTTGCCCATTTGAAAAAATTTTTTTTTTAATTTATTTTTAGAGGGGAAGGGACAGAAAAAGAGAGGGAAAGAAACATTAATGTGTGGTTGCCTCTCAGGTGCCCCCTACTGAGGACCTGGCCCACAACCCAGGCATGTACCCTGACTGGGAAACGAACTGGCGACCCTTTTGTTTGCAGGCCGGCACCCAATCCCTGAACCACACCAGCCAGGGCCCTTTCCTCGTTTTTTAATTGGGTTGTTTGTTCAGTTTTGTAAGTTCTTTATAAATTTTGGATATTAACCTCTTATCAGATGTATTGGCAAACATGTTCTCCCATTCTGTGGTTGTCTTTTTATTTTGTTGGTGTTTTCCCAAGAAAATTTACCCTTGGTAACCCTGCTGGCCATGTGCTGTCAGGCCCCAGTGGACGACATCTGCTCTCTGTCATCCCAGGCTGCCTACTACCTCTGTTGGATCCTCCCAGGGAAACAGCGTATGGGGAAGTTTCTCATCACCCGCACTGCAGCCTCCCACTTGGGCTGGCTATCCTCCCACACTCTGTCCCAGAAGACTGAGGCCCAAGAAGTTAATTGAGCACCTCATTTCCATTTGGGAATCTGTCCCCAAACATCTACAGTTAATCTCTTGGGCCAAAGTACCCACATAGGAAGTAGTTCTTTTGAACTAGTTTCTCCTCTTCCTGAGGAGCCCCATACTGTTACCCAATTCTACCTCTGCTCCAAGGCAGGCAGCACGGGAGCTTTTCTGAGCTCAGCTCCCACCATTCCTGTTCTCGGTGTCCATTCCTCTACTCCCAGCCCCACAGGATACATAGCCCCCAGCTGACTTAGGGCAGGAAGAGTTTGGCTTACAAGGTGGGAAAGTGGGGAGCCTAAGGTACTTTCTGAGTGTCTTAGGGGTGTGGTTGGGTATCTTTGTTTCAGAGATGGAAAAGCAAAAACAGGGCTTGCAGGAAGAAGAGAGCAAGAGTGACTGGAACTTGTTCTATAGAAACACCACTGGTATTGGCAAGGTGAGGGGGCAGGACCACAGACAAAGTGGGGAGAGCCTGAGGCTCTCATTGACTTGATATTAGAGACTCTTGGGTGGGACTCTTCAATCCCATCTTGTTTCCCATTCCATTAGTAGATGGGAACTTTTCCTTTTGGGAAAATTTTCCTACCACATGCTACTATTTGTTTCCCTTGGGCATCATGGGTCCTAATTCTTTCTGACCCATCTCCCCAGAAGCCTTTGCTTCATGCTAATGATGCTTTGTGAGCAATGTGTATACACCACCCATGTCTCAAAGAGATGTCACTGAGCTTCTGAGCCCCAGCTTTCTTCTACCCGTGTTCTGCCTCTGCAGCCACTGACCTCTGAGCCCCACACTGCATCTGAGGTTGGTGTTATCTCCCTTCCATCCCCAAAGACTGTCACCAGTGAAAGAGTCTTCTGGATCTAGGCAGACAGCACAAGCCTAAGACAAAAACACACCGTCTTCCCAAGAGAAGCCCTCCCTAGCCAGAAGGAATGGCACAGGCTGTCTCAGACAGGGGACCCTTTGTGTCCAGCCTGATCCCACCCTATTGCAGGCATTCGCACAGTTCTTCCCCCAGCCCCAGCTCACCAACCTGGTACTGACAACCATGGAGGAACCGAGCAGCAGCGGGGCCCAGTTGTCTCTGGCTTCAGCCCAGTTGATGAGTGCTGTCATCCAAGAGTGAGGCACAGACGTGGGGAAGGTAGTGTGGTGCTGCAGCAACAGCTCTGCCCTGAAAGTCAGGAACCCTGGGCTCTTCCCCTGGCTCTGTCACCAAGCAGCCCGAAGGCCTGGGCCAAGTCCCTCTCCTCAGCTGGCTTTAATTCATTGACTCCTAAAGTCTAAAGTCTAAAGGCTTGCACTAAATTTCCTCTGTGGTCACAGGGAGCCCTAGCAATGTAATTCTGAGTTTGTAACTGCAGTGTCTCCCATCTGAGTGGCTGGTTCCTCAGTTAATGACAACCATGTGGAGGAGTGTAAGCATTGTTAGGGGATTCACTCGATTCCCTGGAGTGTCAGGGGGCCTAGACCTCTGTGAAAGGTAAAGCTGTGGACTGCAAACAAGCAAGTTCACAGGATATCTGACCTTTGCATAAGTTTTCTTTTAGGCTAACATATAAAAATGAGAAGGTTTAGCATTTAAAAATCTACATTTCCTACTTCACTGAAAAAAGAACCTTCAAGGTGGGGTCACATAGGGCAGCTCTCTTGAGTGGCCACCATTCTACTTGTATGTGAGTTGCCTGACGTAGGTACCAGAAATGGAAGGACACCATGAAGGTGTCCTTGAGGAATTAAAATGCAGTGGGCTTCCCAGAGGTCCATATACTAGAGGTCAGAGGGCCAGGTGAGAGCCCTGTGGTCCTTCCACATCCACTGTCACTGTGCCTGCAGTTTCATGAGTGGATGTTGATCTCAGCTGGGAGGGAAAGCCCTGAGATGCCTCCAGAGCTTTTGCTTTCCCTCTGAAGGGTCTTGTGTCTCCTGAGAAACCTGAGAGCTCTTGTCTGGACTTTGTGGCTGTGGGCAGGCATTGGCTACAGTGGGCCTTGGCATTTGCTTTTGGAATTTTTTTTTGTGTCCCCTGCTGGTCTGGCCTCTGGCACCCTAGGACTCTGCCTTGAGAAGAGTCACTGACAGGATTGTAACTCAGCCCTGTTGAGCTTGAGGAGTTGGTAGAGAGGGAATAGAAGGGAAGGAAGTAAAGAAGGAATGACTGAGGTTCTTTTGGCTCTACCCTGAAGGTTGAGATTGTGGAGGGCATCCTGAAACAGCTCAAATCCCAGCTGGAGCCCAGCACAAAGGAAGAGACCCTTTGGGTTATGTGCTTGCTTGTGGGTAACCACACCCACACCGTGGTGCCCCTGCTGCTCAACGGGCTCCTTCCTTGAGAGAGGTGCCTCTCCCATGGCCCAGGAACACATCCCCCATCCCAGGTAACCCTCCCTTTCTCCACCCAAAGCCCATGACAAAAAAATCTCTGCACAAGCATGCTTCTCCTGATGCCAGTCAAACTTTATGTTCTCTGACCAAGTTCTTTTGGGTCCTCCTCCCTCTGGCATCTGAGAACTGGTTGTTCATAGGCCTGAGCCCAGACTAGTCCTAGGAACATGGTCCCCGGGGCCCATAACATAGCTGTCTCTGGGTCCTGCAGAACCATTCTGGCTCTGTTTGACACCCGGCAAGAGTCCATGATCTACATCCTGCAGCTGCTCACAGGCCTTCTGGAATAGCGCCACACAGGGGAAACAAGAGAGATGGCCCCCCAGTGTGTGTTGGTTAGTATGAGGGAGGAGAGGGGGCCAAGGAATCACTGGGACTTGGGAGCAGATCTGCAGATCAAAGGGCACCTGCAGGGTGAGGACAGGTGTCAGGGAGGAGTGAAGAGGAGAGGGTTAACATTGGTCATGCTAATACTGCACGTACGTGGACATGGACATCCAGGAACTGCATGATGTAGAAAGGGTGGAGGTCAATCCCATTTCATGGACAGGGAAACTGATGTTCAGAGTTAATCAGCTTTTTTATCTCTTGATTTGGGGGCAGGTGCTCATTTTCCTGGAGCCTGGCCATGGGGGATGGGGGATGGTGGAGGAGGAGGTTTGGTTACCTGAAATTGGGTTGGACAAGTGTACCCCAAATCATTTTCTGTTGAAAATTTAGAATTGCTTCCCTTTTTGTTTGTATGTTGGGGAATAAAGAGAGAGCAGATTACATGTGCATGGCTCCTCATTTTCCCAGGGATGATCTGTGGGCTTTCAGTCTTTGTGCACCCTTTGGGCAGTAACAGGTTGGGGCAGGGCTGGACTCAATGTGTGGTATCATAGGACCGTTTTGTCTGCATCAGGCCTAGTCAGTTCTGCTTCCCTCCTTCCCATGTGTCTTCTCCCAGGTGGCCTGTGCCTTGTATGAGATGCCGTCTGGGTCCCTGTGCCAGGGCTCCATTCATGAACTCTTCCCATGGCTCTTGATGGCTGTGCTGTGTCATCTCCACTGGGTGATTGATAATTATCCTTCCCTGGAGGTTGTCTACATGGAGAATAAGAGCCCAGGGAAGGAGAGCAAGGTCTTTAACCCATCTGGGTAAGTCTAACCCCATGTGATGGAGCAATGGGACTAAGTCAACTCCAGAGGGCTCTGGGCAACTGGACACTGATCCCCTAGGGATGCTGAGAAAGAGATGCTGTGGCCTCCATGCCAATATTCTGTCTACTTATCATTGTGGGTGCTGCAGCATCACACGCTGGAATGTTCTCATGTATTTTCGAGTATCTCTTCCCTCCTTTTCTCTCATGCACTGTTCTTCTGATTCACTCAGTGGTTCACATCTATGTTCCTAACTCTGCATGTGAATTTTCAATTAGATGATGAATGACAGGGCAAGACTACCCCTGTGTCATTCTCTCCATGTGGTTGTGGCCATTCAAATCTGGGTGACCTCTGGCTGAGCTTTGCAACTAGTTGTGACATCTTGTGCAAATCACTACTGCAGTTTTCTGCCATAAAGTGCGAGTTGGGTTCCTAAATAAGTGATTTTCGTTCCTCTTTCTAAAACCTCAGGGTATTGGATTCAAGTGCAACCTTACATTTAAAAATAAAACAAGTAAGCAGAGACATTCTGATTGGGTGGCTGTGGAGGTGAAGACACACCCTAACCTTTCTATGCCATGTAGAGCAGAATGTGAACACCATGGCTCTCGAACACTTCTGTTGCCTCTTCTGTAAGACTCTGTGGTTGCTTGAGCACCGACATTGAAGGACTGAGTGGGCGAGAGATTGGAGATGGGTTTCAGAGAGCTGTGGATTTTCAGAGCTGCGAATCAGAACTGACCCAGTTACCAGATTAGGGAACTGTCTCCTGACTTGCCAGCATAAGGATGCAAACTAGGGCATAACACCTTATCCATCAGTCTGTCCCTTTCTCTTCTCAAACTCCATGACGACTGGCCTTCAGTTGTGCCTTGGAGATGGAAGTTGCTGCTGACAGCTGCATGCAATGGAGTGTTGGTCTATGCAGATAAACAGAAGTGTTGGAAACTTCTATCCTGCCCTGAATTTTACTATTTAGGGATCATGGAACTGACAAGGTGGGGACCATTTCCCCAGCAAGCCTCATACCACTCTCTTGCCCCCTACCTCCATTTTTCCAGGTCCCAGCACTCAAATACAGCAGCCTTTAACCTTCCCTTCCTCATCCCCAGACCTCAGCATTCATGTTTCCCCTGTTCTGTGCACACTGTACCTTTGTCCCCTCTCCACACCCCCACTGCTGCCCACCCCCCATCCAGCAACTCTTAAGTTCCCTTCTCCCACCCCAGTGTCATTGTGAAGAACTGTGAGCCAGCCATTCTAAACCAAATTCTGAACCTTGTTAAGAACCTCCTCTACAGCCTGGATAATCATGAGAAGATCCTGGCCAGGAGCTTCTATGCAGAGGTGAAAGCCTGGGAAGAGGACAACAGCCCTTGCCATTCATTTCCTGCAGCTGAGGAACATTTAACTGAAATGTTGAATAATTTGCCCCAGAAAGTTCAAGGAATGGAATTGAGCCATGTAAAGTGGGATTTCCTTGCCTGCCATTCCAGGACCCTGGTTAAAATAGGCAGAGGAACGCCTGGGGAGGGGATCAGCAGCTCTAGTCCCCCTAGAATGATTCTTGCATCCCAGTGTCTGGCCCAAAATGCAGACTTTATGAGCTTCATCTTCCATGGCCTTAGTCTCTACCCCATGTGTACAGATCTGCCACTGCTCTCAACTGGTCACCGCCTTGCCTGCCTGTGGGGCCTGAGGGAGGGCTGAGGGGAATTGGGGTACCCATGACTTTATCTTTCCTTGCTCCCACAGCTCCTCTGGCACTGATCAGTGACTGAGACTCTGGGGAAAGACTTCTGGGCAATCTAACCAGCTGGTTTAAGGAACCCGATCTCATCAAGGAAATCAGGCTTCATGGGATCAGGAACCTGGCACTGCATCCAGGAAAAGTAAGAGTGGGGGACCAAATGGGAATCAAGTGTCCGTCTCTGAACCACTTAATGTACCTCCCTTGGGTGTTTTAGTTACCAGAGGCTTAGTTTATTCCCCACCCCTCATTCTAGGTCAGTACAACATCCAGTCTGTGGAGTTATACAGCCTGGCCATCAGGCCTCCCACACACCCTGAGCACCAGCCCCACCACGTTCTCAGTGCATCCAGCCCCTCGATTCCTTGTTTCTGTTTCTCTTAGGTACCACCTCTTTTCTCAGATAAATCCCTGTCCCTAAAGTGTTGCATGATCCCCAGGTGGTAAGTGATCCTATACCTTCTTCCAAATAGTCTTTGATGAGCCTGGTTTCCTTCTTGAAAGACCTCCTGAAGGATGATTGGCGAGTGAGAGTTCAGGTGGTAAAGGCCCTATAGATAATCATCTACCATGAATAGAAAGGACACCAAGCTGGTCTTTGGTAGCATTGCCAAGCAACTGTGTTCACTCATCAATGACGTACGGGCCTAAGTCCTTGGGAGTAGTGGGAACAGTATGGGCTGGAGCTGCAGATGAACTGTTGAAGCTGAATTAAGGATTCTGGGGCTGGGCTACAGGACTGTGGTGGAAGGCCAAAATCTCTGAGGGGCGGAAAAAAGGAGATGTGGCTACTTGAAACAGCGCATTGGACAGGCCCCATATTCACCCCTATTACATACAGATGTGCCCAGCACACACTCATCCACTCCTCTCCTGTCACTAGTTCCCTGAGGGAGCCACTGAAGGAAAAAAAGGTGATACTGATAAGAAATTGGTTGTGACTCCCAGAATCTTCTCCTGCAGACTTGAAGAGTGTGAGGAGAGCTCATGACTTCTGGCCAAACAACACAGAGATCCTGGAAAGCTGGGAGCCTGGTCACAAGAACCCGAAGGCTCAGAAACCTGAACTTCCCAGACCAGTACCTATTCTCTCCGTGTGTCCTCCTTATAGAACATGGAATTTTGGAGGTGATGGGACTTGACATCAGAGATGCTTGCTCACAGTGCTTCTGTTCTGACATCTGTAACTTTTTAGTTTTCGAACCGTGGATTTGAATAGTATTTGTGTCACTCTTCTCATCTCTAAGAGTCTGGACACTCACTGCATGATGACAGGGTTACCATCTGATCCATCTGTCTCTCAGCCACAAGGACATGAATACTGGGGCATTGCATACCTTAGAACTAGAACCCATGTTAATGGTAGACACCCAGCTAGCTCAGTCAGTGGAGCATGAGACTCTAATAAAGCACTGGTTAATGGTAAATATATCTCAATAGAAACCCAGCTTATCCTGCTTACAGACTACAAACTTTGTGCAGAAATCCACCACTCTACAGGTGTATATTGGATTTGCAGATCATGGGCCTATTGGACCCTACCCTCAAATTGGACAGGGATCTGCTCCTTGGGATAGATTCTTCCTGACATCTCAGTCACATGGGAAAACACCTTATTCAGCTTTCCCTTTAGGGGACAGAGACACTTAATTAAAAAGGGGCAACCCATTGATCCCCATAATAGCATTGTTAGGAGTTCTCTCTGTGGCTAGGGCCACAGCGGGTGGCACCTCACTAGGTATTCATCACCAATTATCTCTGCAAACAGCAGACACTGACCAAGAAGAGGGGGGCGCACCTGTAGGACAAGGACACTAGCTGTACTCCAGGAACAGTTAGACACCCTAGTAGGGATAGCCCTTCAAAACTGAAGAGCCCTAGACCTACTCACAGCATCAGGAGGAAGGACACATCTGTATCTCAAACAAGAGTACTGTTTCTCAATGTTAATAAATCAGGCCAGGTCCACCCAAACATTCAGTGTACACTGGAGTCTGCATCTAAAATAAAAAATCTGAGCTCCTCAATAAATCCTAGCTCCTGGCTCTCGGACATAACCTGGCTACTGCCTTTCCTGGGACCCCTCCTCTTAATACTCCTGCTCCTTATGCTCAGACCATGTATCTTTAACCTGCTTGTAAAGTTTATACCTCCCAGGCTGGAGCAGTTAAAAAACAAATTGGGGCAGTACTTGTCCTGCAACAGCATGAACCAGAGCAAGCACAAGCACAAACAGCTCATAGATGTGGCTTAGGGACAGCTTTGGGACCCTTCCCAGCTAGAAGCAGTTCCAGAAGACAGACCTTCACCCATTTACCCCCAGCCTCACAAAAATAACAAAAAGCAGTCTGGGATGAAAGAGTCAGGCTAGTTTCCCAACCTGTCAGCATCTGGAAGTAGTCCTGAGAGAAATGGAACTATATAGTGCTGTCCTCACTGACAAGGACTCATCGTCCATCCTGAAACTGATGAAGGTGATACCATCCCCAGAGGGCTCTGCCCACCTCCCACCCAGATCCCTGCAAGGCATCCCCGTCACTCCAGCCTCCCACTTCTCTGAGGCTTCCTTATAAGGGCTTCTCTTTCCCTCTGACCAAATGTGGGAAAAATTCTCCCGCCCCTCCCTTTCTCTTGCTCCCTTCTGTCCACACTTTAGGCCCTATTATCAGAAGCTGCATGTCCTCTTCCCCCAACTGCTCACCATTCCACTGCCCCATCTTCCCTCCTACACCCTCTGGGCCACCTTTTCCTTCTGAACCTCTGTTTCCCCATCAGGCAAGGAGGGTAAGGTAAGGAGGAGCCAAGTTTTCTCCTTGTACAGGAACATGAGCAAAGGAAATGGGTGATGGTGTGTAATACTATCTGTTTAAGCTACAGCAAAATTATTCTAGAAGGCAAGGGAGCCATCTTCATACATTTAAATGGCATCCTGGCCTTGGTCCTACAACACTGTCACAACTGCATTGTGGAGAAGGTACTTCCTGCTCACTCTGCTTCTCCAGCATCCCTTCTCTGCCATCTCTTCGCCTGCCCTCTCAGAAAAATGCTTGGCCTTGAATGGGAGTCAGGGGGAGAGGCTAGTACAGTTACTTCTCCCACATTTCAATCCTTGAGACTCTAACTGGACAAGGAGGGACCACTGGAATTCTCAGTGTCTCCTTCCCTGCTGGCATGCTACGTAACGTGCCTTTGGGCTCCTCACTGCCTTCTCCAATGAAGGGATGAGAGCAGGAGTGCTCTCAGCACCCCTAGATTAGAACCTTGTTAATAAGAACTCATTTCCTTCAACACTAACTGTTGAGTCATGTAGATCCAAGGTGCCAAGCGGCTGAGCCCCAGTTTGCATGGTTACATGAACTGTAATTGAGAAAGCACAATTTTAAAATAATGGATAAAATAGTTTGACTTCATCAAAGTGAATAATTTCCTTTTTAATTTTTACATTTATTTTTATTTTTTTCCTTTTTATTGAATTTATTGAAATGACACTGGGTAATAAAATTAAACAGGTTTTAGGACACAGCTCTACAACACATCATCTGTACCCTGTAATCCAAGTTCATCCCGAGTCAAGTCTCTGGCCATCACCATTTATCCCCCCATCCCCTTTTTTACCTCTCCCCCCACCCCCTGGCAATCACAAAACAAAACATCACTATAGCAAAAGGTGTTAGGAATGTATGCAAAATGGAATAGATTGATATTGTGTAAAACTGAGTTCTTATAAAATGTGGAGTGTTTGGAAACTTTTCATTTCAGGTGCTCAGAAGTGTTGCCTGCTTGCTGCCAATTCCTTGGCTGTTTTCTCAATGGTCAAGTCTTCTGGATATAAGTGGGTCCCAGATCAGGAAACTATGAATATATTGAATTGTTCACTTCCATTTTGCTGTATATTTACAAATCCTTTCATAGCTATTCTCTGTTTGAGCCCTGTGGCAGTACCAAAGAATTGGTCTCCACTGTATAAGAAAGGGAACAGCCCCTGACCTTCAGGAACTGGCCTGATGCTCACAACCAGGCCTCAGCTGTCAGGACCTGGCTTGGGCACTGGGTCATGGTGTTCTGTTGGACATAATCTCACAGAACAGCAACACTGGACAGTCATTTTGTGACCACAAGGGAAACAAACTGCTTCATAATCAGACAAAAATAAGATCACTGTGCAAGTCACAAAAATATCAAGCCTCTCCACATCCTAGCTAATACAAGTGACTGCTGCTTCATTACCAATCACAGCTTGAGTCCTACTCGATTCTCCCCACCTTCTAAATAAGAACTACTAAGATACACAGTCATAGACTTACACCTGCTTACTGATAATATCCCATGCAGAGAAAGTACTTGCCTTCCTAAAATATTCTTACTGGTTTTAAACTGGAGGATGTTGGCAGAAGTGAAGGTTCCACTGAGGGTCAGCAGAAACCCTCTCATCCTTGAGCCAAGAGACCCTCACCTCCATTATGGTTTATACATCTGAAACTTTTAAAAATATATTTTATTTATTTTTAGAGAGGGGAAAGGAGGGAGAGAAAGAGAGGGAAAGAAACATCAATCAATGTGGGGTTGCTTCCCACATGCCCCCTACTGAGGACCTGGACCAAAACCCAGGCCTGTGCCCTGACTGTGAATCAACTGGCGATCCTTTGGGTCACAGGCCAGCAGTCGATCCACTGAGTCACACCAGCTGGGGCACATCTGAAGCCTTTTGAATCACTACTCTGTGGCCCATAGCTGGGAGGTAAGCTCAGGATGAATTGAGTTCCAGTATTTCCTTGAAGCCCTTTGGCTTTGAGCTTATTTTGTTTTCCTAGGAAAGATGTGCTATGGGATGGAATTTTATGGTTATCTGCTGAGATTTGGATTGCTCCCTAATAAAATTATTGGCTAGCCTTCTAATAACTGCTCTTATGTCTGCCTGTCTAATGTCTTATGCATTGTCTTTAGGTGGAGAAGTTGACAGGAATGGCACAGACACAGGCTCAAGAAGCCCATCCAAGTGCTGGTCTCTGGGTTGGAGAAGTTCAGGGGATCCCCTCAGGTCAACATCTTTTGGGACCATTTACCCCAGGTCACCATTTCAAACCTCATAAAACCTCCTTTCCCCAGTCCTTATTTGTGGTGTTTCAGGGAACTGCTTTCTCTGAAGTTCTAGCTGCCTGGAATCTGGAGGGTTTTAGCCAGCTCAGTTGGTGACAATCAGTCTTTGACCTAGGGACACAAAGTTTCCTTATAGACTGTTCTTGTTCTCCTGGGGTTTTCTTAATCTAAAATGACACTCTTCTGGGCCAAACATGTGCTGCTATCGTGTTAACTCATCTTCTTATTTCTCTAACAATTTGAGACAGTTTGGAATTACAATGGCCACTTGGGGGAATTTTGACATGAAAAGGATTGTTTATTTCAGAGGTGCCAATGCAGAAAACAAAGAAATCCTTACGAAGAGCTTGTCTTGCCTAAAAGAGAAATTCTTTTACTTAATGTAAGAGACACAAGCCCCTTCTCCTTTGTGTCCACACTGGGGATTAGTAAGTGCTGGCTTTGTATCATGCACCTTGATGGAACTGTCAAGGGCCCAAGCTGTTGTCTAAAACAGTATGATGTCACTCTCTTTCAAGTAAGTGTATATGTCAAAATCTGTTTTTTTATATCTAAACTTTTTTTAACCTCACCTTGCAGAAGGAACCTCATTAAACTTATAGTGATAATTTTATACTTATTGGAAGCCAGCACGCTCTGATTTTTTGGTTTCTATCCCTCTTATTTTTCCATCTCTTAGAAGTAAAGGTAACTAATCAAAAACATCATTCAATTGTGAGTGTGCATTCTAGGAATGTCTAGAGTCCTGATAAACTGTCAGAAATGTCTGAAAAGTTACTCAGTTGTATTTCTTTTTGTGAACATAATGATTTTTTACTATATTTCTGAGATTATAAGAAAAAGTTTTAGCTCTGAGAATCCTGGGCTTGACTCTGTCTTTAAACTTTACCATATACAAAAAATGTCAGTACGATTGTGCTTTGAACAAGGCCATGGTTAAAGTTCTCATTATTCAGACTTTCTAAGTTTTCTATTATTGGTTTTATGATATAGGTTATACTGTTTCCATACCATGTTTAAATATAAAAATTACATATGAAATTGTCTTCACCTAAATGCAATCATGATAATGGCTCATTTGGGGGTACCCACAGGGCCTTGAGATTTTGCTTCATGTGCGTGTCATCTGCTTATTTTTTTTTCTTTTTTTTGTTTTGTTGTTGTTCAAGTACAATTGTCTCCATTTTCACCCCCCCACGACCCTCACCTCACCCATCCCTGACTCCCACCCTTGAATGTACCCCCGTTGGCTTTGTCCATGGTCCTTATACATGTTCTTTGATGACCCTACCCCCTTTCCTGCCTATTATCCCCATCCCTATGCCCTCTGGTTACTGTCAGTTTGTTCTTTATTTCAGTGTCTCTGGTTCTATTTTGCTTGCTTGCTTGTTTTGTTGATTAGGTTCCACTTAGAGGTGAGATCACATGGTAGTTGTCTTTACTGCTGATTATTGACAGGACTCTTAGCTTAACCTCCCTTACCTTTCTGTTTTGACTCCCTGTGGTCTTCTACCACTTAAAAAAAAAAACAAAACTTTTGTGTTTTTCTTCCATCTTAACTGCTGCTATAAATTTAACTGATTCTTAACAAAATAACACTTCTTTAATCACTTAAGAAGATAGATTTCCTTCTATAGGTTCCTTCTGGGTCTTAAGTTTCCCTCATTGTTGGGAACCGCCCTGCCTGGTTTCAGAAGCTGTAATCCCTCCTGGCTAAGACTGAGTAAAAAGACCTTGGGACCGTAAGCCATTTAGGAGACAAAGCTCATCTTCCTTGTAGGTGTACCACCTCTGCCCCCTTTCTCTTCACCCTGCTTCACCCTCAGCGGATGACTGGTTAGCCAAAGATGGGTAAGATTCTTCAAAGGAGAGACGACCTAAGATAGGCAAAGTCATGAAGGGGCCCTCAGGGAAGGACTTGGGGGGCTATAGAAAAAGGGGGTGATGGACCCTTATCCCTCCGCTTTGACACAGCCTGAGTCCTCATTCTGTCTGCATCAGAAGTGTCCTAATCTCTTGGCTGCCTTTCTTCCCCTGCCTGACTGAAGCCTGAAACAATGCCTTAAGCCTGAAACAGTGCTGGAGGTGGGTGCAGCCCTGTGCTGGAAAGGGCAGGTTCCCTAGGGCGATCAGGCCTAAGAAAGAATGCATAAAATCCTATGAAACCTACTTTGCCTAATACCCTCAATTTAAATGATAAGGGTCGGAGGATGAAGTCAGTTTGTTCCCCAAAGTTTTATGGCCCTTTAACTATCTGACCCTGACTCAGAATAAGCCCTCAGAGTTCTTTGAATGTTACCTATTGTTTAATCATTTCTGCCTGACAGTGATTGATGAGCTTTACGTATACACCCTGTATTCCTATGCAAATTAAACCCAATAAAAGCCCATTGAGGAACAGGTTCCTGGCCCTTCTCCTTTGAGAAATCGGCCACCTTTCCTCCCCAAGCAGATCATGTCTTGGTAGACTTATTCTCATCCATGGCGGCCAGAGGGGCCCTACGGGCGGAGGTCCCCCACACCTCATAATTCCAAACTTGAGTCTTTAAAAAATGAGCCTTGACCCCATTTCAGCAAGCTGTTTCTACTGAAGTTGTTGTAACCCTATCAGCAGAACCTAGACTACTGAGAGTGGGAGCAGACATTGGGGCTCTCCTAGCTACAAGAGTCCGTCTGTTCTTGCTTTGCAGGAACCATATGACTCCCCTCATGGAATGTGCCCACCTCAAGGGACAAAACAAGCTCACTCCTATTGACCTAAATGGTACCTCTTCTCCCAGTGTGGTCTGTGTCCCACTAGGGGGTTACTTTTTTATTTTTTAGAGAGAGGGGAAGGGAGGGAGAAAGAGATGGAGAGAAATATCAGTGTGTGGTTGCCTCTCATGAGGCCCCCACCGGGGACCTGGCCTGCAACCCAGGCATGTGCCCTGACTGGGAATTGAACCTGTAACCTTTTCGTTTGCAGGCCCATATTCAAGTCACTGAGCTACACCAGTCAGGGTGGGGATTACTTCTTATGTGGCTCTCAGGTTTACACCCACCTGCCAACACACTAACTGGCCCCCTGTGTATTCAGGACAGCTGTTAGAGACTTTCAGATTCTTTAAATTACCGCCCCTGCACAGGGTCATGTTTCCCTGAAAGGCATACTCAGAAGCCTCCTAAAGATGCAAGCTTAGAGCACTCCATGCCTGCTCAGAGCTACAGTTCCCACAGTAGGGATCAATACAACTGAGAAAGGTAACCCAAACTGATCTCTGCCCTAACTAACAAATGTCACAAATGACAGCTACTTCTGCTCTAGAAATCTAGCAGATTAGTTTAAACTTCATTAGCTGGAGTTGGCTAATCATGGGTAATCACATAGCCCTGAATTTCTTCCTGGATGGTCAAAGAGAAAGCTGTATTATAGCAAACATGTCTTGCTATCCCTATGTCAATACTACAGGGCAAGTGGAACAGTGTGTGACTAGGTAAAGAGAAAGCTACTTGGATTCTGGGATATGTTTTTATTGTCCGAGTTTTATATCTGGGCCCCTTGGCTTTGAGGCCTGTTAGAAGAACTAATTATCCTTTTGTTTTTAGAGATTGCCTGTGTTGCAGTTGGTGGATGTATTCTTCCCAGAGTCTTTGGTGCTACAGTGCAGCCATTATCAAGTCACAGGGGCCAACAATTCATCTCACAACAAAGCAAACAAAGACTGACCCCTCGTCCAACTACACACTGCATTCTCTGGACACCCTCTTAATCCTGATCAGCAAAAACTCAGTAGTGAGCAAGATCTGGATGTCAAAGATTAATGTCCTACAACTCTGTCTCACTTGGCCAAAAGAGAGTCTTTGACTGGAGAGCATTGGCATGTTAATTTATATATTCTCTCAAAAAGGAAACAAAGACTCAAAGAAGGTAAGTAACTTGCCCAAGTTCACTGCTAACCTACAGCAAGCCCAGAACTGAAATTCAGGTTGTAAGGCCTGGCCTGGGATCTGACAAAAGAGCATCCTATCAAGTTGCCTCTCAGTACCAACAGGAGAGAAGAGAAACTTGGGGATCAGCAGACTTGCTATGCCAGAGCTCCCTGCAGCCTGGCTCAGTCCCATAAACCCAAGAAAGTGAGAGCCAGAGGATCTTCAGAGACCATACAATGTCTAATCTTACAGGTGACAGATAGGGGAACTTGGGGCCAAAGAAGTGACGCGACTGCCGACTGGCGTGGCTGGATCCATCAGGTCCCAAGGGAAGGCGACAGGGATTAAGAAATAAAGAGACAGAGTCAAAGCGGGGTCAGGTGGAGTCCCTCCTCTGCGATGCAGAGGAAGGAACCCTTTATTGGTAAATTCAGGCTGTATATATTGAGCAAGATTTGAAGCAGAGGGTGAGAAAGACAAAATGCAAGGCTAGGTACATTTTACTTTTCTAAGGACATTGCCTGCTCTTTCTTGGAACAGTGATGTGGCAAGCAGCCAAGTCATTCTTTTCTTGCAACAATCAATCTTTTGTGGCCTAGGGCAGCTGTGCTGAACCTAAGCCTGCATTCCAACTCCGTTGGCACACATTATCACTCCTGGCTCTCCACAGAAAAGAAAAGTGACTTGTTCAAGGTCACACATCAAATCAGTGGCAACGTTCAGACTTGAGCCCAGATCACCAGAGCTTGGTGCACTGCAGCCTCCTACCCTCCCCACCAGCAGCTGCAGTCCTCCTTCCTGGCCACCAGGGCTTGTTACTATGCTCTGCCTGAGGCCCATCCTTTTAGAAAAGAAACTTCTGCAGACTGAGTGGCTAGTTTCTCCCTTTCAACCACGTGGAATTTCTCTTGGGGCATTTTATTAGGAGCATCCTCAAAATTTCTTAAGTGTATAAGGCTATCTTATACACTTTGTTTTGTTGATTAGATTCCACTTATAGCTGGGATTGACAAATCACTTTCAACACAAATACAGGTATTGGGTCTTTTCTTCCCTCTTGGGCAACCTGTCTATTTTTTTGTTGTTGTTGTTACCCTACCTAGCAGACAGCCCAGCATACCATAGGTCTTAATACATATTGAATAAATGAATTAGTGTTTCCTTGGAAAGATTACATGTATCCCTCCCCTCTGTGTCTGGGTTCACTTGACTGCCACTGAAGAGAAAAGAGATAATGTCTTGAAATTTCTCAACAGAATGTTAGCATATAGCTCAAATGAGATGGCAAGTTGAAGAAAGTGTGACACTGCCTTATTTGTATAATTTATTCTCTGAAAGAAGTACACTAAAGAATAAAACACATTACATTAGGTGCAGAGGAGATGCTACTGACACTCTTCATGGTTTGTGTGTACTCTTTAACCAGGATTCATGGCCAGGGAAACAAAAGACCCTCTTTGCCTGAATAATTTTATTTCCTTCCTTTGTTGCTTTAAATAGGCAAGATGTGGTTTGCATTCCTTTCACTACTAATGTTTGTTTTGTGTTCCTGAACAAAAATAACTTGCCCTCAAAAGTTGCTCTCAAAGGTTATTAAAGATCCCCTCCACCTTATGCATTCCACTTATTTGTAATCAGGGTCCTGAGTGTTGCTAATAGAGGCTCCCTCCACGCCCTATCTTCTGTGATAAATATTCTTAGGTGGTGGGTCTAGTTATGTTAAACAGCAGTAATATCGGTGTCCTTTAACCTTACTGTGAGTATCCTAAAGCTGGAAGGATTATCTGTGCATACAATTACTCTGGACAAGGATGTGCAACAACATCCCAGGAGTGTACAGCTCATCCATCTCCATCACCACTGGAAGGAAGAATCGCTCTTACAGTTCACATGTCTTTTTTTCTGGTTATTCTCCCCCTTAATCATTAACAGCATCCTGCAGGAAAGGTTACTCCTTAGAGCACAGTCGGAAATGTTAAATGGCTCCTCCTAGAGCACTCAGGCTTGGCAGGGCCAAGATTAAAATGTAAATCCACTGCCTTTGCCTCTACACTGTGGTAAACCTCCAGTAGAGCTTTATGGAAGTCCAACTTCTTGGCAATGTGGAGCAAAAGCAACTACAACCATCCCTGACATTCTAACCTAGCTAGCAATCTCCAGCCCAGAGGAAATCTTCCAACAGGCCAAGACAGATAGGTACACATGCATACCTGTAAATGTACACATTCACCGACCAACCATAACCTTAAATCTGAAGCCAGAAGCCAGAAAGAAACTCTCAGGGTAACATTGTTACAATCTGGGTTTGTCTCCATCTCCCAGACATCTCTGATTTTATCATAACCAAACCCTGAATCCTAGGGCCTTCTTTCTGCTAATTTCACTCATAGCACACACAGCCTCCAGGAACTTCCACCACTCACTGCCCTCCAGTAGGTACTGATCGCTTAACTTGTGCAGTGATTCGTGCTTTCCATGTCTTTTCCACTTGCACTAGCTGGGTCTGTCTAGCAAATACATTTCTGGGACTTCACTGGCTTCTACCGTTTCGGCCCCAAAAATTACAGTGCCTTTTGACTGATGCTAGTTGTGGCCAGGGGACGGTTGACCCTCCCCAGGGGCTTTAATTCCTTTGCACGCCCTCTTCTTGGCTTCTGTCTGACCCTGCCAGCAGCTCTTCACAGACACTCATGTTGAAGCACATAGTGGGATGAGAATGAAGGAAAGGCCTCAGCTGCCTTCTCGGTGTGAAACTTAGACCACACATGAGGGGACTTCCTGCTCCCAGACAGGAGGAGGGAGGTGGTATCCGAGGAAAGAGGTTCTGCCCAATGAGGTCAGGGCAGGGCCGCTGGCAGCTTCTGTTAGTTCCGCTGGGGCAGACCAGTGGCAGTTGGCAGTTGGCAGTTGGCAGTTGGCAGTTAGATCTGAAGTTGAGCTGAGGATGCTGGGATGGATTTTCAAGTGGCCCTTCCATCATGAGCCTAGTTTGTGCTCAGGGGGAGCAGAATAGCAGGGAGAAGAGATATTTGCAAATACTGCCCAAACCTCTTGTTAGTCTTGGGCTTCCGTACCTTCCCCGAAAACTTTAGCCAAAGTGCTAAGCAACCCAACTTTCCACTTCTTTCCCATCTCTTCACGGTAGAGGTTCTTGCTGGTAAAGCAATAGCTGAAAGTGGGAAAGATAAAGGGTTATAAAAACTGTCCTAACTATTCCACAAAAAGTTTTGCTGGAAGTAGGTTATGATCTCTGAATCTCAGCTAGGTTTGTTGGCTCAGTGTCCTTGCTAACTCACTGGCTCAAGAATTGGCAGAGGAGCTGCCAATTCTTGCATTTTGTAAATGCTTGATACTTGTTGGATGGATAAACAAACAGCTAAATGAAATTTTATCTGAGCCCCAAAATTGCCTTTACCAGCACAAAAGTAAAGAAAGCCCCGGCATCCTCAGGCCACACATCTGGAAAAAGGCCAGTCTGTCAGCCCAGGGGAAAAGGGGGCAAAATGAAGCAAGTCCTAAACAAGTCTACTGCAGGGAATTTCCCTCCCCCTTTTGTTGCCCTTGCTTCCACTGTGGCCCTAAAAATCCCATCACAGCCAGTCACCAAAAGAGCGACAGCAAGAGATAGAAGAACCATTCTTTGCTGTGGCCACTTAGAGGTTCCCCGGGAACCTGACTTTCCGCCAACACATTGCTGCATGAGTGTGGTGGAGACAAGCTTGGGATCTGAAATCAGTGGGCCCAAAGTTTGAGTCCAGGGTCCTCTTACCAGATGTGAGACTTTGGGCAAATTACTTAACCTCAGTAAACCTTCTCTATTTCCTCAATCTGTAAAAGGGGGATAATACTGGGTAAAGGACTAAGCATGATGTCAGGAATATTGGTAGTGCCCAATGGGTGTTTTTATTACTCCTGCATCCCATTCTGTTACTCCTTTCTTTCTCTTCCTTGCCATGACTTCTAATCACATCATTGCCTATGAATAGTCAGAGAGAAGAGTGATCAGAAAAACTAGGTTTTTGGACAGCCAAGGACTTATTGACAGGTCCAGGAGCAACCACTGCAGCCCGACCAACGGCCTGGTCTTTTGAAAAGCACAGCTAGAAGCTGGTGATATCCCTAAGCCCACGTAGATTCCTAAGAATGACAGAGGTGTGTGTGTACTTCATAAAGTAACTCATGACCCTTTAAAAGAAAGCAAGTTTGTTGTTTTTTTGTTTTTGTTTTGTTTTGCTTCCAGGACCTCTCAGGTGGCACCGAGATTGCCAAGAGCCTGCTGCTGTTGCCTCAGTAATGTCACCTGAAGAGCTGTGAGCCAGATTGTGTCTAGCTCTGTGAAGTAGGACTTTACTCATTAGTGCCTTAGTCCCCTCCTGTGTAAAACAAAGGGGTTGCACTAGATGCTTCCTAAAGTACCTTCAAGTTTTTGTTTCTGGAGTTTTTTGTTTTGTTTTGTTTTTTTCACAGTAGGCAGGACTTGATTAGATAGATGGGGGCTTCTTGAAATTTGGAATGTATGACTTGTAATCAGCTTCATTGGGGAAACTTCCAATGAGGTTGAGACCCCTCACTCCTAAGAGTGGACTTGTAGAGGTGAGATAGCCCTCCACATTCTCAACTGATGCGTGTGGCTGTGGGGCCAGCCCTTTTCTCATCTCAGCCCTTCCCTTCAGTCTCAGTGTGGCTTCTTCTGTAAATTGTTGATAAGACTACTATTCAGCTAGTCTTCAGCTGGTTATTCAGGTTGATTGTTCTATAAGTTAGCTGTAATTTTGGTTTGCTCCTGGGAGAAAGTGAGTGTAACTTTCACTTACTCCACCTGTTTTTTAAATTGAAGTACTACCATTGAATCACCTTTTTGTTTAGCCATTATATGCTCTGTGCAAAAAGTGATAAAGTGTATATTCAATTTGTTAAAATGTCTGTTTTTATATCCTACAAATTCACAGACTGCCTTGTCCTATCATGCTTGTTATTTAGTACTGTGCCTAGCTCATG